CACTTGCTATTTAGAAGACACCCAGTTCAAGATAGATGTCCCTTCTGGTGTTCTTTACTTGTTCTTTTCCTGATATGTACACCTGCTTCGTGTGCCCAATACAGGATCGACTCCGCATCAACTCTAAGCCTGCTAAACAAATTTACACCAGTGCCACTACCACGGTCTACCGCTACTTAACCACTGCTGATTCGGTCTGGAGTGGCCCAAATCGGTGACCCCAAGTCCGAAAAAAGAAAAAAGATAAACACACAGCTCAAGCGCTGACTTCCCTTCGCTTTTCGCTTCGCTTTTCGCTTCGCTTTTCGCTTCGCTTTTCGCTTCGCTTTTCGCTTCGCTTTTCGCTTCGCTTTTCGCTCTGCTTTCCTCACACCTTTTTCCCCCTCCCTTCCTTCGTCCAGATGTGCCCAAGCCCGAGGCGCTTGAGCTCCAAGTCCAGCCGGTCCATCAAGCCACCGGAGGCGCGCGACGGGTGCGCCGAGTACTCGAGCGCCGCTTGGGGCTCCAGTCCGGAGACCCTCCTCGGTGCGGACGGGTGGGCTGGGAAGGGTGGTGGATGGGTCGAAAAAAGCTGTGTGGTGGCTTTAATGAGAAGCATTCCAAGGTGTGTTGCTCCAGTTCATATCACCAGTGAGTGATCCATCATGCAGAAATCCTGGAGATTGTGTGTGGTGAGGTGGTGTCATGTCACCACCAGAATATCTTTGGGTGTGAATGATGCTGTCACATCATCGTCAATTCTCTCATGCCCACCATGAGCGCTGGAAGGTTTGCAACCACTCATGCTGCAAGAGATCTGTTTCCACCAAATGTCCGTGTCTATCTTGAAGTTCTTCCAAGGTGGCTAGCTTGCCATTTGCGGCCTTTCGCAAGATCCTTCCCCATGACCACCTCCACCTCTTCTATGCCACCCAAGACTCCCCATCATCGGCAGGACCACGACACCTGGCCCAAAGAGCGTCACCGCCTTCGCGACTTCATGGGGCGCCTGCCAGATCAATTGGTCGATAGAGCGGCTCGCCACTTGGCATTGCGCATCCAGCGCGTCCTCCACTTCGTGCGGTTTGGGCAGAGCTGAGGATGAAAAACGAGGGCATGATCCGATAGGAAAACTAGCACGATTCTTGCGGAGACGCTGTCAATGAGTCATTCATCTTGTGTCGTAGACTCAGAACCGGAGCAAGCCACGAGACCCGCAAGCCACGATCCCCCCCTCTCACCCTGCTTTTCTCATCCCTCTCCTCATGGACAACAATGGCTTCGGACTCCGCCATCTTAGGGGTCTCTCATCGCAAAATTGGCACCACAAAGGTGTGCGGGGTCGAAGCTGTGTTTAAGTCGCTTCGGTGGCTGGTTGTCGGTTGACTCCTGAAGGGGGCTTGGTGACGTGTTCCGAAACCAGTGAGGGCAAATGCCAGTTGTGGGTCCCAAACATGGCCCAGAGCAAGAAAATATGTGTTTCATTTCTTGTACGTCGCAGTATTAGGAGAGGTGAATCTTTCCAGTTTGGGCGGCATGGCAGGTAGGATGGGTATTGAGTGCATACGGAAGCTGCCTCCAAGTGGTTTGTCTGGGTCGGCTGCTCTGAGCTCATCTTCGCTCGGAAAAAGATCGATCTGAGATAGCTGCAGGTTGCGCAACTTCAAGAACACCAGAGCTGTCAAGCAGCTTCAGATAGGAATATAGCTAAGCTTGGCCAATGAAAGGTTTCATAGAACCTAACCTAATGCTAGTGCGACAGTAGCCCTGATTATCAAGGTTGATTGCTTTCCAATGGTAAGAACTTACTGATCAAAACTTGAAGCTCCTCATTCTTCTTAGTAACCATTCTTTCTAGATCATGTCATATCGGAAGTCCCTTCGGTCGACGCGTTCGTCAGCAACCTGTTCCAACCTTTTCAGGGGTCTTTGAGGAGTGCAGTGGAGAAAGACCCATGTGTTTCTTCGAGACCTCGATGCCCAGTTACTAGTAGCGATGCCCTTTGGTACTAGTGGCGTTTTTTTCCTAGTAGTGCCAGGAGCTACTAGTAGCGTCCTTGCACCCTGTCTGCACCTCGCCCAAGAGATAGAGCTCTTGTTGAAGTCTCTCCCTCAAGCGACGCCTCAGGGGTGAAACCAACTCGAGCACCTGGGCAGTTGCCTCGGGGGGGGCCCTTTGTTGAACAGATGAGAGTGTTCGTCTACCATATGTGTTTCTAATCTCAAAGGTTCACCCCTTCAGTGTTCGGACCGGCCAAAGCAGATAATTGAACGGAAAGCACAAAAGCATTCTTTTTCAAGGATCAGAGGCTACCAATGGCTTAAGTAGTGCAACTACAAAGTGCTGTGAATAAGAATTGTATAGAACTACAAGCTGTGCTTCATATAGCGATGGCATCCCTTGGCAGCATCTTTTGCATCTCACCATTTCACAGCACCTGGTGCTTCACAGAATTCGTAACTGATGCCCACAACCACCTGACTCAGAAAAACATCATCAAGAAAAGATTGGTTTTGGGTTCATTGAACAAGTCCGACTGGGAACAAACGTGGACCTCACTCTCTGGTTCAACCTTTCTGGCATGGGTCAAAAAAAGGATCTTCCTGTAGCCCTTCTTCCATTGCGGAGTTTGGACAGCGATAGATGTTTGGAGCTTCTGAAGCACTGGTCCCCATCCAATCAACCTATCTCAACCAGTCTTCAGGCTCCCGGCAAACTGCGCTGCCGCGCCGGAGCGGCTAAGTGTTGCAAGGGCTCCAAGGGCAGAACGGAGAAGCTGCCCATCGCCTCGAGCGATGGGGGAACTCACACAGGCCGCGCAGAGCAGGACTCCTGTAAACCCAAAGAAACCCTAGCTTTGCCAGGCTTGAGGCCCCCAAACAAAACAAAGTGTCTGTCAAATCAACCAAAGTTCCATTTCATGAACTCCCGTTACATTCCCATGGGAACATCTTCTGAAGGGTCAAAATACCGTCGCTTCGAACACTCGAGTGGGTTCTTCAACTTCAGTTCAACATCAGAAACCCAGAAGGGGCACACCCCCTCTCCTGAGAAAAAATAAAGACGAAAGAAACGGGTCACCTGGGACATGAAAAAGGCGGGTCACGACGCGAGCGCCGTCTTTTCCGTCGGCCCCTCGTCCGGCCTCCAAGTAGGATTGGATCGCCGTCTGCGTGGCCGTGCTGGTGACCTTGGCGTCGACGGAGTGGCTCGGTCCCGGTCGAGATGTGGGTCGTCGAGCGAAGCCGACGCCAAGTCAGAGCTCGTTGTTGCCTTGGCAGGCCTTGAAGCAGTCAATCAAGACATGGATGAGTTCATAGAACAAGCATATACCAGTCAACACCAAAAGAATCCGTGTAAACTCATAAGTGGTCTGTCTGTGGATTGGTTTGGGATTTCGGTGGAAGCATGTTTTTGGAAGCACGAAGTACAGGAAGTACAGCGATGGTTCGACTGGGAAGTTGGTTGGACTGGACACTGTCAAAACCGGGTAGGGTAGGGAACAAATGGGAATAGTGAACAGATAGTGAACAGTGCATTCCCCTCCAACAGTGTGCTACCATTGTTTGTTGGCAAAGTCCCAGCCTTGAATCTTGCCAGTTTTGTCATAGTGACATAGTAGTTTGCCAATTTCTATAGATTGTTGTGCAGAAGTGCCACTTCAGAAGTGCTTCCCAGATTCGCACCTAGGCTGCCCAACGTCCCGCAGCAGCACCAAGATCCGCCGACGAGGTCCCGTCTGCAACAAGGGGGGGGGTCATGGGCACTGTTTTGAATGGAGACAAATAGGATCTATGGGATCCGTACGGAGTTGAGCAACCTTGTGCAAAGATCGGAAGAAGTGTCCAGGCTCCTTGCTTTATCACAGGCGTCCCAAACAGGCCGCGTTTCATGCCTCCGAAAACTTGGCATCGGTGATCAGCTTCAGCCTGGCATGTTCGTCGCTGTTCGTTCGTGGCAAAGTAGGGCAAGTCAGTTCGGTGGAACGAATGTTGCCCCACTGACCTTATGTCATAGTGAATGAGGACATCTGGATCGCACCACCTCCAGCACCATGCTCACGACCGCACCCCGCTGCACATGGTGTACATGCGTTCGTCTCCACCAAGATGCCGGTCAATTCTTTCGTCGAAACCAGTGCATTTCCCCAAACCGAGTGCTCTCTGCCCCTTTCGGTAGCCCCTGAAGTAGCCAAGCAAGACCGAACCGAACCGAACCGAGCGATCCGTCGTCGAGTCAGATCCGTCCACCCTTGTCCTTCCATCCCTGAAGAGGGCCCCGGCAGTGCCATCAGCTCGGCTTTCGCGGTGATCTTGCCCCTGCTGTTTGGGGTGGATTCGGAAGGGTCACTGGATTTGGGGGGGGAGTGCTACAAAAGTGAGGAAGGCATCATTTTACTGCTTGAAAGTGAAACGGTACCTGGGGGTGTTGACCAGGAATAAATGCCATCAAAGTCTTCCTTTCCTATGAGCAATCTACCAATCCGCAAGTCTTTGGGGGTCTGACATGGAGCAATTGTCACGATGCGTGCTGAAGCCCTGGTGAGATCCAGTCTTGCTAAATGTGTAGCTCATGTGACCCACCAGTCAGCAGAAGCACCTTTAAAATGAAGAAAAAAAGACCCAACAGCAGTGCTGGGTGTCTATCTTGCTTTAGAGCCACTTCATCCACGGTGCCCAAAATGTTCGGGGCATCCGAAATGTCCACGTGAACAAAACTCTACACCTCGACTCCACCCCCACATCCGCAAAAAAAGGTGCACTGAGAGGCATCTGAGCTTCCCCACGAGTTGGAAGAGGTCGAGGAGACCTCGCGATCCGAAGAGAGGAAGGGCCCCTCTGAGGTGGAGAGTCCAACGAGGGATCCATCGAGGGTCGCGTCCGCGGCCAAAACAGGTTGACGCACAGTGGCCATATCCATCCTCAGTGCCCGGCGGAAGCCCCGCTGGTGCTCACACGGCGGCTCGCAGGGATGCGGACGTCCGGCTTCATCTTGGGCCTCGGCCGGGATGGTCCGGACGCGCTCCGTCCGATGGAAACGCTGACTCGGTCCCTGCGCTAAAGAAAAGACCTGAACGAATGAATGTGTGATGCATGTACCAAAACCTACCGTCTTTCCAGGATCAGCCACCAAATCTCTGCAACTTCCTTCCTTTTGGTACCGAAGGAACCCCATGCCAGCTGAGGCACTGCGGCTTGTCCTCGTCGGGGACCTCAGCAACGCCCGACTTCTGGGATGTCTGATATCAATCGAGGTGTAAAGTGATTGGCCTTCGGTGGCTAAATCCATTTCGAAAGCTTCCATCTTCAAGTCTCTCCGCCTCCTTCACTCTCCTCTCTCTCCTACCTCCCAGCGCCTCAGGCCCCCGGCGGCGAAATCCTCCGGGGAGACGTGCAGCAGAATCAACGCGCTGCTGGCGGCAAAGGTGGCGATCAAGGCCTCGGCGACGGCGGAGCGACGGCAACACTGCCAAAGGGAACGGGAACTCGTGGGCTGAAAATCATCGAGGTACAGATCTCTCCCCAAGGATTTGAGGGTGCTCCAGCTAGCGAGATCTTACCAACGATTTGAACCGCTAGATAGTGGCGCTATTTCATCTGTTCCAGCTGCTAGTTGCTGTTGCTTTAGAGTGCCAACCCCAGATGTTCGATCCCATGATTGGGAGGCCAACACTTCCAACAGGCCTGTTGACTCATGTGCTGGAGCAGCTGAGTGGTCTACGAAAAAAGCAATAAAGACACTGCGCCCCTTTCAGGTGCGCAAGTGTTGTGGACAGAGATTTTGCAAATCGGTCATTCCGTGCGCCTACCATCTGTACAGTGGACAGTGGCTGCAGGAGAGATACGAAGCCTTTCACAGGACATGACCATGAGCGAAGCGGCACACCAAAATCCAGCGTGGTGTGAGAATCGATCATGGTGTGGTGCTCTCGGAAGACCAGCTTTCCCAGTTTCACTGGAACCGGAAAACCAAAAGAGCAACTGAAAGGGGAGTTCAGCACGACAGCAAGGAACCAATGGCTACGCGGCTATGCCAATAGGAAGAGAATTCAACATTCCCATCGACTCTGTTCTTTGTCTCTCTGACCCTAGAACCACTTTGCTCAGTCACGCTCATAGGGACAACAAAACAAACACCTCCTGCTCATGCGCTCTTCTGTCAACATGAGATGGCAAAGTTCTCACTTTCAGAATGTGAGTGAACCTTAAACTCCTGGTAGATCCAAAAAGAAGGTCTTTCCTCGATTAAATGGATTGGAAAAGCATGCATTCAGGGAGTCACTGAAGCGTGGAC